AATAAAATCAACTTTGTTGCCTCAAAGACGTGTCCAGAAATCTTTCTTGGTCATCGGCTTCGAACCTCAACATCTTTCCTACATCAGAGAGTATTTTCTTAGCTCCAAGTGCCAGACATTTCTCCCATAGGCTTTATTGGTGGTTCTCAAACTGTAAATGTAAATTGGAATCACCCAGGGAGTTGTAAAACATGACTTTCTGGCCCTCCAACCTCCAGAGTTTCTGACTGAGTGGGTCTGGGGTGGGGCCTGAGACGTACATTTCTGGCAGCTTTCCCAGAGGTTGCTGGTCCAGGGAACCTCATGTTGGGAACCACCGTTCTCAGAGTTCTGGACGGGGAGTGACTGGGGTGTAAGACACAGCCTCTTGGGAAGGCCCGGAGTTTGTTTGGGACCGAGATGGAGGTTGATGGGATCAGACACCAAACTAAGACATTTGCTACACTAAGCTGAAAGACATTTGAGACACAAGAGATGGAAAGAGAAAGGCCTTCTTGGAGCTTTCCTTATCCAATGGCGAGGGGTGACCTCTCGGAAATAAGGCTGCCAGAAACTCCTCCTCCGGGCAGATCTACCCCCAGAAAGGAGAGCAAAACCTCTGCCAAATCCTTTCCCAGAAGAGTTGTATGGCCTTGAAGGGAGATGGAAGTCTACTCACAGCCACGTAGATAGACATTGTCACACACTGTCTCCCGTTCATTCTCCTGAAAATCATTTCTCTCTCCAGAGAGGCATTTGTTGCCCCATACGTGCCTTCTTCCTTCTCCCCTCCACCTACTGACATGGAAGGTAAGCCCCCAGTTCTAATCACCCCCTTTGCGTTACTCATGTCTGAGTTCTCCTGTGGGTACGTGTGTTTGTTGTACGTGGAAATAAAAGTTTTTTTTTCTTGTTGTTAATCTCCTTTGTCAGTTTAATTTGCTGTGCCCCAAGGACTGAGCCTGAGAGGGTAGAGGTAAAAGTTTTCTTCCTCCTCCCCAAGATCAAGAACTTGAGCTCATGGGCCATGGTCAGATTTTAGTTAGCATCATGCACACCTGCCTAAAACCCCATCCTGAAAAGCCTTGAGGAGGGTGCTGACATGTAAGATCATGATCCCTTCCCTAAGGGAACTCACATCCCGCAACTCAATTAACAAAAAGTGCAGTTCCTCCTGGAGGGTGGGTGAGAGCAGTGACTGGCAACATCTTTGAGGGAGCTTGTCAGGAGGCCCAGACCAGCCCAGGCTGGAGGGGTCACCTCACAGCATCCATATTCTCACCCCTTCTAGAACCCCGAATTGATGGTCATATTTGGAGGTCCAGGCATTTCTCGATTCTGCTGAGTCCTGGAGGCACAGATGCAGAGCTCCCTGGGATGAGGCTTGTCTTGCAGAAGCTTGCACACCCACTCAGTCTGGGCCTGGGGACATAGAATCTTAGGGGTTGCGTTCTTGCCTCCTCCCATTTTATGAAGGCTTCATCTGTCAGCCCTCTGACTAAGGGGCTGCCCAAGGGGCCGCAGGCTTGGAGGCAGCAGCCTCCCTGTCCTCAGTCCCTCACCAGCAGAGTTGGAAGAAGGCAGGTGGAGGCCTCAGGGAAAAGGGGGAGGGGCCAGGCCTGCAGAACCAAGGGCTCTTGCTTTCCCCGCAGTGCCTGGGGGCAGGGGTGTGGGCCCCCAGGGCGGCTGACTTCCTCTTCCTTCTGCCTGGTGCCAGGAACAACTATGCTCAGCCTGGTGCCTTGCCACTGCTCTGTACACAAAGCAGCCTTGCCTCTCACATCCCACCAGGTTCCCCCAGTGCACCCCTACACGAGCAGTTAACGGGGCCTCTTCTAGCAAATTCCCAGGAACTAAGAGGAGAATGTAGACACCATCCTTATCTGTATCATCCTCCCATTGACCAAATCCTCTTCTTCCAAATTCTTTTTTTTTATTCACTCATTTCATTTTTTTTAAAGATTTTATTTATTTATTCATGAGAGACACAGAGAGAGAGAGAGAGAGGCAGAGACACAGGCAGAGGGAGAAGCAGGCTCCATGCAGGGAGCCTGACATGGGAACAGATCCCAGGACCCCAGGATCACGACCTGGATGGAGGCAGATGTTCAACCACTGAGCCACCCAGGTGCCCCTATTCATTCATTTCAGACAGAGAAAGAATGAACATGGGGCAGACAGAGAAGCAGACTCCCCACTGAGCAGGGAGTCTGACATGGGGCTTGATTCCAGGACCCCAGGATCATGACCGGAGCCAAATGCAGATGCCTGACTCACCCAGGTGCCCTTCTCCCAAATTCTTTACTTGCCACTCCAAATCCCATATTACCAACAAATACGTTCTAGAAGCTTCATAATTGAGATGATTTGTAGTTTTATAAAACATTATCTAGAACAATGTTGGAATACTCTGCATGTCTGAGGCTCTTTTTAAAAAGTCTATCCTTGGGATCCCTGGGTGGCGCAGCGGTTTGGCGCCTGCCTTTGGCCCAGGGCGCGATCCTGGAGACCCAGGATCGAATCCCACGTCGGGCTCCCGGTGCATGGAGCCTGCTTCTCCCTCTGCCTGTGTCTCTGCTTCTCTCTCTCTCTGTGTGTGACTATCATAAAAAAAAAAAAGTCTATCCTTAAAAAAAATAAAAAGTCTATCCTTGAGGAACCTGGGGGGCTCAGTTTGTTGAGCATCTAACTCTTGATTTTGGCTCAAGTCATGATCTTGGGGTTCTGGGGTCGAGCCCCGCATTGGGCTCTCTGTTTAGCAGGGAGTCTGCTTCTCCTTCTCTCTCTGCCTCTCCCCCTAGCCCCAGCTTATGCTCTTTCTTTCTTTCTCTCTCTCTCTCTCTCTCTCTCTCTCAAATAAATAACACCTGTCCAGGTACAGAGCATCCCCACCGTGTCCTACCTCCCCCCTGGCAAACATACATAGACTTTGTGTCTGTACTTTTGCCTCTTCTGGACAGTTCATCTGAAAGAAATCTCTTTTTTCTCCTATTTATTTACGTATTTATTTATTTATTTATTTATTTATTTATTTTAAAATATTTTTTTAAAAATATTTTATTTATTTATTCATGAGAGAAACAGAGAGAGAGAGAGAGAGAGAGAGAGAGAGAGAGAGAGGCAGAGACACAGGTAGGGGAAGAAGCAGGCTCCATGCAGGGAGCCTGATGTGGGACTCGATCCTGGGACCCAAGGATCATGCCCTGGGCTGAAGGCAGGTGCCAAACCACTGAGCCACAGCGATCCCCTTTTTTCTCCCTTTTAAACCAATTTAAATTTTGTTAGGCACGACAGCATCACCATACATGTGAATCACTAGCTCACATCAGCGGGTGATGTGTTACTCAGAAAAGTATACACAGCCTTTGACCCAGCAGGTCTGGGGCTCACTGCTCACACATCCACACAAGGGGGCACGGTTGCATGTGCTGCACGTGTGCTGAGACATCACAGCAGCAAAAATTGGAATCCAGAAGTGTGGAGGCCGAGAAAATTAAGGCCATTCCACTTTAAGTTCAGTGCTAGCACAAGTACAGCCATCCCAGGCCCCTGTGAATAAGAGCTGAACTTTACCTTGCTTCAGTTACAGGAAAAAACAGCCTAACGCCTTTGAAAGCCCCATATTAGAATGAGAACAGAGTTCAATGCCCTTGAAAGCCCCATATCAGAATGTAAACAGAACTTGAGAAATTCCTCCACCCCTTCTGGAGGTCCCCTAGACCAGCCCATAAAACTCAGCTAGAACCCACCTTGGGGGGCCAAGTCCCTGCTCCCCTGTGTCTGGTACACTTGGACCCAAGCTCGAGCTTGCAAATAAACCCTCTTGTGTTTGCATCGGTGTCAGCTCCTTGGTGGTTTCTCGGATTCGCAATCTTGGGCACAACAGTAAGAACTCGCTACTGAGGAATCCACAGAATGATCTCGAAGTGGCCCTTGGAAAGAACGTAGATCACAATGCTCTGACTCGGGACGTTGTCTGACTGTCATAAGGATCGTGTAGTTATGTGTCGTAGGAACAGGAACATATTTTACAAACTAGAATAAAAACCAAAGCAAACAGAAAGAAACAGAGACCCACAGGCAGAAGGATCTGTAAGACCACCGGGGATGCTTCCCTGTGCGCCCCAGGGCCGCCAGAGCATCAGTGGGTCCCGGTGCTGGGTGGTCACAACTGCAAGCAGACAGGAGTGTGAGGTTCTGGTGACTGTCACTGAGGAGTGTGTTTGGGCTCCAGGACCAAGCAGCTTCCTCCGCAGGCAGGGAGGGTGGTGATGGATTCACCGCCTAAGGAGCCTTGGCTTCCCCTGGCACTGGGTAGGACCCAGAAGCTCATGGGCTGCCCCAGCTCTCTTCAGGACTTGAAGAGCACCCCACTCTTCTTTTTCAAAAATGGAATCCTCTCTCTCTCTCTCTCTCTTTTTTTTAAGATTTTATTTATTTATTCATGAGAGACCCAGAGAGAGGCAGAGACACAGGCAAAGGGAGAAGCAGGCTCCTTGTGGGGAGCCCGATGCCTGACTCCATCCCAGGACTCCGGGGTCACGATCTGAGCTGAAGGCAGACATTCAACCCTTGAGCCACCCGGGCGCCCCTCACCCCACTCTTGTAGGACAAAACCCCAAACCTTCCCATGGAGAACCTTGTGTTGGGGACCAAACCGTGTCCCCTAGACCGTGTCACACGTTGGAATCTAGCCACCAACCACCGTGGAGCAGGTCCCTACAGGGGGGCCAGGTGAAGGGACGTCGGTAGGGTCACTTGGTCATCACTGAGGGTCTAATCCCGCACGACCGCTTGCCTTACACACGGGGACGTGGGCAGGGAGGTGCCAGCTGTGGGAGGGCGCTGCGAGGCCCCCGGTGGAGGCGGCTGTCCCGACCATGACAGGCCTGCACCCACCGTCGCCCGGCCTCGGGAGCCAGCCCTCTCCATGCAGGGTCTCGGGCCGTGGCTGTGTCTGTCGCTGTGGGAGGCGCCTGGGCCAGTGTCTGCGTGGGGGTGGGCAGGTGCTCCGGCCCCACCTGCAGACAAGCCCGTGCCCTCGGCGCTCACGGGACCACCGGACCGGGCTGTGCTCACCAGCACGCGGCTCTGCTCCTCCAGGGACCGAGCGGGCCCTTCCCGCCAGTAGGGCCGGGCCGCCTTCCCCTTGCGCCCAGGGCCACGGGCTCCCTCTGCGCCCGCGGGTCGGGGCGGTTGAGGGTCGGGCTGGTGGGCGGCTCACTCGCACCGCCTCCCCCCTGCCCGCCCCCTGCCCGGGACCCTCAGGCGGGGGCCCCACAGGGTTTACGGCCGTCGGGGCTCGGCTCACACTCGGTCTCGTATGTTCTTGTTGGTTCATGTCCTGCAACCCTTTATAAAAACTACGACGACGGGATCCCTGGGTGGCGCAGCGGTTTGGCGCCTGCCTTTGGCCCAGGGCGCGATCCTGGAGACCCGGGATCGAATCCCACGATGGGCTCCCGGTGCGTGGAGCCTGCTTCTCCCTCTGCCTGTGTCTCTGCCTCCCTCTCTCTCTGTGTGACTATCATAAAAAATAAAAAAATAAATAAAAATAAATAAAAATTAAAAAAAAACTACGACGACCTTCCGACGACCTTCCGAGGCTCCCAGGCCGCCCGGCCCTCTGACCCCCTCTGGCCGGAGCGCAAATGGGAGGCTTCCCCCTGGAATTTGGGTTTGGGAAGGACCGGAAGGGATTATCGTCGGAAGTAAAGGGGAGGCGCAGGGATGCAGCTGGGGTGTCCTTCGGGGGCAGCCGAGGAGGCCTCCAGCCCAGATGGAGCTTGGCCTGCAGGCCACCCAGCAAAGCCCCGGGTGCCGGCCCCAGGGCCGGGTGTGGAGCCGGTGCGGAGCCAGGCGCGGGCCGCCGGGCAGGGCTCTCCAGCCTCTCCGGCGGGAGGGACTCATCCACGCGGAGACACTCGGGGGCGCAGAACTGAGCTGTCCCGGGCGCCGACTGCAGAGAAACATAGGCAGCTCCCCGGATGCTCACAGCAGCCGCAGAGCCCTCAACGCAACACCTGCCGCGCAGCCAACCCCTCGCCCAGCGCGGCTCGGCAGTAGCGGGACTCGAACCCTGGATCCCGCAACGCTCAGCAGAGTCGCAGACGCGGTCCTGGGAGGTTATGTGCCGAATGCTCCGTGTAACGGTCTCGAAGTGACACCACTTTGGAGATGGATAAGGACTGGGGGTGCGGAGAGGACGCGGGAGGAGGTGGGGAGGCCGAAGAGGCCCCAGCAGGGCCCTGCAGGGGCTGCACACACTCTGTGCTGGTGGACGGTGAACCTACTCGAGGGTCAGAGGGCAGCACGGCTGCACACATGTGCGGACACACACGTGCAGGCACACTCGCTGGAGAGCAGCCAAGCACCCACCTGGGCCATGGCGGTAGCGGCTGTGTTCCAGGTCAGCGTACTGTGTTGTGACAGTCGCAAGGTGTTGCCACTGCGGGAAACTGGGCCAAGGGGACAGGCATCTTGGTATTATTATCTTTTTAAGTTTACTTAAATAATTTCTATACCTAATGTAGGGTTTCAAACCCATGACCCAGAGACCAGGACCTGAGCTGAAATCAAGAGTCAGACACTTAACCCACTGAGCCACCCAGGCGCCCCAATAAAACTTTCTTTTAGGTAAACTCTACCCCCAATGTAGGGCTCGAACTCAGGACCCAAGAGGAAGTCGTACGCTCCTCTGACTGAGCCTCCCAGGCACCCCTGGGTTATTGTCATGACTGCATGTGAAGGTACAATTATTTCTATAAAAAAGCAAAACCCACAAAACCATTGCATGAGGTCCCCAGGGCCTGCCACAGCCAAGTACTGCAGCTGGGGGGTTTGGAACAACACAATGGATTTTCTTCGGTCCCAGGGCAGGTGTTGGAAATCCATGCACATGTGAGGTCAGTCTCTAGGATTCCCATAGGGTCCGTATCCCAAGGTTGTCCTCAGTTTCTGCTTGGCTGGGAGACCTTGGATCGGGGCCCCAATCTCTGCCTCTGCCTCTGCCTGTGTGCCTGCAGCTCATCTCTCTCCCGCCTACCAAGGTCACCGGCCACCGTTGGATTTAGGGCCTGAGCTCATCCAGTGTGACCTTAATTTAATTGCATCCGCACAGACCTTATTCTCAAATGAAGTGCCATTCACGGGTCGGATCTTCACCATATCCTCCTGAGGGGGCAGCATTCAACCCCTGACAACCGGTGTCAGGGGCATATGTACCCAGTAAAAATGGCCTGTTGTCCCTCCCAGGCTCTATCCTTGCAGATCAGAGGCTGCTCCTGGTGGTGCACAGCCCTGGGCCCGGAGTCTGCCTAAGTCATGCAAATTCGTGCACACAGTGGACTTGGGCTGTAGATGAATAGAACGTGTCCTGTAAATGCATGATGCAAAATGTGTCGGTTATTCTGATGGACAAGATGCAAACTCACATCTCTTCAGAGATGGGGAGGGAGGAGGGGCAGAGTCAGGGGGCTGGCGTGGGGGGGAGAAGCAGACTCCCCAGGAAGTGCGGGGCTCAATCCCATGACACCGAGGTTGTGACCTGAGCCCAAGGCAGCAGTCAGATGCTCAACCACCCAGGCGCCCCTCCCTACAAACTCATTGTATTTTATTTATTTATTTATTTATTTATTTATTTATTATTTTAATTTATTCATGAGAGACAGAGAGAGGCAGAGATATAGGCAGAGGGAGAAGCAGACTCCCTGCGGGGAACCCAATGTGGGACTCGATCCCAGCACCCCGACATCAAGCCCTGAGCCAAAGGCAGACAGATGCTCAACTGCTGAGCCACCCAGGTGTCCCCAAACTCATTTTTAAATGTTACTGAATTTATAGTGGAGTTTGGGTCCCTCGGAACTTTCTCCTTCCATAAATGACCAGATTACAGCTGCATCTACCTGACAGGCCATGACAATTCCTGATGTTAAACATGGACTCTGACTCCATACTCAAACACTGCATGAGCCACACTCCCTGTGTCCCACAACCTCTAAGGCAAACATGGGATGCTCTAGCTCAGTGAGATGGGCTCCTGTGGGGCCTTGGACCCAGAGGGCAAACTGTGATGACAACCCAGCCACTTCCCATGGGGGTATACTCCTGGCCAGTAGCCCGTTTCTCACCACGGTTGCAACTAGAAGTCCTGCCGCATCAGGATGACCCACAGGTAACAGGTTACAGGCGCCTCTGGCCCGAATGGATGCCCTGCCGGGGAGGGGTGTGTCTTGCTCCCATGAAACGACCCTGGCAGAGCTACTCTTGTGTATCATGGCCTTTAGGGGATTTGGGCTGGAACAGGTCTCTGAGTTTTGCGGGGCATGGAAATGGGGATCTCTGGGAATCCCAGCGTGCCAGCAGGGAGACGGGAGGCATCGTGCCCTGGGCTGGGGTTACTGGGGGCTTCCCCAGGAGTGAGTCATAACCTCAGTCAGTGAGCAGGGAAGCACAGCACCTCGGTGCCCTGCCCCCCAGAAGGAAGCACCAGGGGCTTGAGGATCTTCCTGGGGCAGTGGGCGGGGGGGTGTCACTGATTCAGGGACCAGGACCTGCACCTGCAGCCAAGGGGCAGATCTTGGAGTCGGGGCCCCTGTGTAAGCCGGGCTCAGCCTGGGGGACTGAGGGGGGTGCCACAGGAGCCCAAGTGTCTCCTTGGAAGATCAAGGGGTTTGGGGTGGGCAAGTGCCCTGCCCAAGCCCTGAGACTGCCGACTGGTTGGAAAAGACAGTCCCTGTGATGTCTTCTGCAGTGTGAGAGGGCGCAGTGGTCATCTGAGGGCTCCGGGGGCCAACACCGGTCACTGTGTCACAGCGGCCCCGTGGCTCAGGATCCGGTCTTCATCCAAGGGCCCTGGGCCCCAGGCAGCCAGGCAGGGCCCCTGCGACCCACCTGGGTGTCACCACCTCCCGACCACAGGTCACTTCCAGCACCATCCCCCTGTCCCTCCCTGTGGCCTCCCTCCACCCCCCAAATTCCTATCACTGCCACAGGCTGGCCCCATGCACCGTCCACACTACAACCCGTGGCACTTTCCACATGTCATTCGACAGTTGATGTGGGACCATGTGCTCAGCGTCTGTGTGTCCTGGCAGCCAGGGGCACATTGCGGACCCCCACATGCTGCCACTGGGGCTGCACACTGAGCAAATGACGGGAGGGAACCTGACGGAAGGTCTTGTTGACAGCTGAGCAGGACACACCACGACCAAAGGCTGGTCTTTGTGACTTCTCAGTCTGCTCCCAGGGATCCACAGGGGTGACCCCTCACAGAAAGGCCCTCCAGATGTTTCCTGGGGGCGGACCACACACCCTCAGGACCAGGAGACAGCGCTGGGGGCAGGGAGTCCAGTACCAGCTCCATGAGCCCGGCCCTCCCTGCTCACAGCCCAGGGAGGATGAGCTAACCTGGGCCCCCACCCAACCGTTGACTCAGAGCCTCTCCCGTGGGGGTGTGGGTGCTGCACTCATGGTGAGTTGGCAGCCCCGGCGCAGAGCGAGTCTCCCGCTGCCCAGAGCACGGGGCTCCCCAGGGATGGCCGACCTTCCCGCACGGGGACCGGTCAGAGTCCGGGCAGGGGCAGGGCTTCTGGGACTGGACTGGGAATTGCCTGCGGGGTCACACACACCCCTCCCAGGCCCGAGCGAGGGTGACACAGTGGTGACCTCCACCAGGTCCTTGACCTGTGGGTGGCTGGGGGGCCAGCTGGGTGGCCGGTTGGACACGGACTGTTGCCTTGGGGCCCTGGCCTCTGCAGGGGCGGCCAAGGTTGGAGCTCTGGGCCCGAGGTCAGGGTGACGGCCTCAGGCCTTATGGGTGCCTCTGTCCAGGACTCCCCGGCTGGTGTCCCACGGGCCTGGGCAGACCAAGGAGCCTAGAGCTATCACATGCATGCACACTCATGCCCACACATGTACGTGCACTGGAACATGCACACGCTGACACCCACAGACACACACACCTACACACATACACACACTGGCAAATGCTGACACCCACACACTCCCCACACTAACACACACGTACACACACCCATACATGTATACACACTGACACACGCACACACTAGCACACATTCACATGCACAAGCACACACTCACAAGTATTTATACACACGTGTGTACACAGATCAGCACACACAGTCATGTACCTACTGGTGCACACACAGGCACACTCACACATGTACACACACAGAGAGGCACACTCACATGTACACATTGGTGCACACACATAAATACACACAATGCACACACAGCAGCACACACACACCCATGCATACCCCTGTACACATGTGCTTTCACACATAATCACAATATTCAAACACACATGCATACACATGTACAAACAGATGAATAAGTAACACTAGCACTCAACAGTGAACTGCGTGGCTCATCACTGCGGTTTGGGGACAGTGGGGTCCGCATAGTAGCAGCCTAAGGTGCGACTCTACATAACATCCTTGTAACAGTAATGCTTTGAGATGTGACAGTAATGTGAGCCCAAAGTAAACACGCAGACACGACAGGTGCATCCTATACCCCAAAGGCAGTCGCTGTCCGTCTGAAAATGCCTCACACACGACTCGGGAATGGGAACAAGCCCTGGGATTTTTCCTGTCACAAAGGGGGCACGCTGAGTGTGCGAGTGGTGTCCTGTTACCCTCCCGGTGGGAGGGCCTCCTGCCGCTTGGACACGTCCGTCCCCCAGAGCAGGTGCCCAGGTTGCAGGGTGAGGGCGGGGGCAGCGAGTGGGGACAACAACGGAGCCAGGCACTGCCTTCCAGGAGCTCTCGGGGGGTTGGGACACATGCCCTCCTCCTGCTAACTTGTATCTTTATTTAGGATTTTTTTTCTTTTTCCTTTCGCTTTGACTGTAGTAAAATACACATAACATTTATCCCTGTGACATTTTCAAGTGCACGTTTCAGGGGCGATAAGGACACTTACATTGTTGCACGGCCACCACCCACCACGGAACATCTCCCTGGTCCCAAGTGGAACCTCTGCCCCGGTGAACGCTCACCTGTATGTGAACCTGGCTCCTCCAAGGATGGTTTGGCCGTGGTCACACACGGCGTCGCTGTCCTGGGCCTGGCCCGGGTCACTCAGAGGGAGTCCAGACTTCAGGCCTGATGTCCGGAGCGCGTCAGAGGCCCCGTCCTGCTCTGGCTGACGACCCACCCGCGTGTGCTCTCACTGTTCTTCCTTCCTGGCCACCCACCCCCCTGGACCTGGACCCAGGCCCAGGGCTCCTCCCCTCCTTCACCACCCCCATCCCCTCCCTCCCAGATGTCCTGGGCCTGTGGATCAGCTCAGGGGGCACTCAAAGCAACGGCTCACACCTGGTGACCCTTGAGCACCACTCAGCTGCTGGTGGGGGAGGGAGC